GCCAAAAGAAAAATTAAAACTTAAACGTTAAATTAAACAAATTACGATAAAAAATCCAAAAAAAATCAAGGCCACTAAAATAAATAATTCTAGACTAAAATAAAAAGTATGTATGAAAACTTGTAATTAAAATTAACTAAAAATTAAAAAAATTAAAAACAAATGTTGGGCTTCTAGGCCCAATAGGCTTTCCACGACCTATTTCCCTTGAACTAGCCTAACCCCTCTTTTTTTTTTTTCCTAAATGCCCAATCCACGACCTAAACATAAACTACAACCCAATCCGAAACTCAAATGAATCAAAACTCTTTTTTGTTCTTCTTGCATACAAAATCTAATGAAACCTAGACTTTCCAAACTTCATTTCCCTTCAATTGAGATTCCTTTAATGGGACTCAAGCAACTCTAGATCAATTGTCAAACCATAAACCCATCAATGATGCCTCATCCAGATGAATTAGAAGATTGGTAATGACAGTTGCCACTACCATTTTTCTTTGCTTATTTTGAGGATGGAATAGTTGTTAATTAAGTACCATACAACAAAGAGAGAATTTTGATTACCTAAGCTGAGCTTGATGAACTAGAAAGGATTAAATGACTAGTGTTGTTGTATTGAATCCTTTTTGTTATAGGTGAACGGTGACTAGGTTTGTGAGGTGATAGGTGCTAGGTTTGGTGTGTATATGTTTCGTATATGGATGATTGTGGGCTAGATGGGTGGTTTAGTTTTAGTAAAATGACACGAACAACTGGATTGCTTGTGTTCTTGAAAACCTAAAAAGCCAATGAAAAGAAACCCATGAGTTCAATAAAATTTTCAAATAAAATACCTAGTTTCTTTTCCAAATTTTTCCTCTCCCTAATCCTTACAATGGAGCCTTAATTCATAGCCAAACCTAGAACCATTTTCTACCCTAGGATCATCCTAAAACAACTTAGACCTTTGCATAGTAAAATCTAAATTTAATACTGGATTTTATCATTAATGCATAAAACAAAACGAAAATAAAAACCAATGTAGTACGTGAAGTGTTGTATAGAGGCGTATTGTGGTGGGTGTAGAGGTGCAATGGTACAAACGTGAAGTGCGATTCCCGATCGGTACAAATGTCAACTAGGAATTTTGGCAAGAAAAGGAAATTGGTTTTGGGGAAGAGGATGATGAAATAGTATTGGGAATTGATTTTGGATTGAAACAAACGATAGGTTGTTCGCTTGAATTTAGCCATCTCGTTCACTCTCCGAGTTTTAATTTAATCCTCCGACCTTGCTTGTCCGTAATTTTACCCTTCGGCACTCAATTTTGGTCCTTTGATGTTTCATTTTCTTCGGTCATACTCTTGTATCCTTTAATTTCAGTTCTACAATTTTCAATTGTTCCAATTACATCCTCAATTGTTTCAATTTCGGTCTTGATTTTGTTCAATCATGCCCCTACTCGAATTATGCAATGCCATTTTTAGATTTTTTTTTTTTTTGTATCTTCATATTTTTAGTATTTTTTTATTCTTTTTTCCAATGAGAATTAAACAAGAGACAAATAAAGCAAATAAAAGAGGATAAAAAGGGATAGAAAAAAATGAGAAAAGTTTGGGTTATATATGACATCGTACAAGCTTACAATTATAGGGAAAAGCGAGAGAAGAAGAAGATGAGATTTTTTTTTCCCACTACAGTTATAGAGAAGAGAGTAATTAGAAGGTTTGCTATGAGTATTTTCATCAACTTTCTTCGTAACCCTAGAAAAGAGGCAAAATAATAATTAAAAAAATCATATTGTTTAGGGGTAAAATCATGGATGGGGTATTTGTTTCAACATGAAAGCTATTTTTTTAATATTTTTTAATTTCAATTTATTCATTCTTATACTTTGAGTTTTATTGAGATATTTTATAAATTTTAAAGATGAAGTTGAAATTTAACCATAATTGAATAAAAACTAAATGATATGGAGTTTAATTGAAAACAAATCAAAAGTTTTAGATGAAATTGAAACAACACATAAACCTTAGGGAGAAAATTAAAATTTACCAAAAAAAAAATGCCTCTCGTTAAAAAAAAAAAAAATGATAATTATTACGTATCTAGATTTCTTGAACCTTGGTCAGGTATTCATATATTACATTACGGACTCAATACGGACTCGATATTTCTGGTGAGCCTTATTTATTTGTGTTGTTGTCCAAGGTACCTCTATGAGATAAGATGGGCGAGCCGAAACGAGAGATGATACTCAAAACATTTTTTTTTAATGCAAAATCCCCCTACAAAAATATGGGGCATAAATTCTTATTATGAAGGATCAACCATCAATTAGTTATGGAATTTATATTTTAATATTTATCACTCCACACATCAGTTTTGTATGAAATTTCAGAATAAAAAATTTGTTAGTAAATAATTATTAAATAGAATTTACAGATTTTGATTTGATTATCGCTCCACCATTGTCACATTGCTACCATATATATTTTTTTTATTCGAAAAACCGTTTGCATGTTCTTAAGAGAGTAACAAAAAATAAATGAAAATCTAACTCAAATTAAATAGTTTTAGTATGATGGTAAGTGAATTTGTGTGTTACAAATTTAAATAAAAAGATTAAAAAAAATATTACTCATTACTATTCAAATATAATAATATAATTACTTTTCTAATAAAACACTATGCTTATTATGATTATTAACTGCGCCAAATCAATATTTATTTATTTTAATTATATATACTTAAAAATATTACCATATAAAATAAACATTTAGTTAGTATTTATAATGAGAGGAGTGCTAGTAACACTCTCTCTAACAATCTTCTTTAAATATTTGCTAAATAAAAATATCTATGTCAAATATTTTCTTAAAAATATTACCATATAAAATAAACATTTAGTTAGTATTTATAACGAGAGGAATGCTAGTAACACCATCTCTAATAATCTTCTTTAAACATTTGCTAAATAAAAATATCTATATCAAATATTTTCATATAATTTTAAAGATAAATAAATAAACAAGGATAGTTTCAATTTTTTTATATAATATGAGATTAATTATAATTTAATTTTTTTAAAAAATATGAATCATCAGTTATTTTTTATTTATTATTGATATTTTTATTCAATAAGTATTTAAACAAGAAAGTTAAAAAGAGTGTTTCTAGCACTCTATTTTACAATGAATATATTCATATTCTTTAAAATATTTTATTTTTATTACAATCAAACGATAAATGAAGTACAATAAATGCATTTGGATAATGAATGAGTAATTTATAAGTTAGTCCCTTTATTTTTTAAAAATAAATTAATTAATCCTTTTGAAAAAAATTAATTATTTAATTATTTGACTAGTATACTTAATTTTATATTATTTTATTTTAAAAAAAATATTTTTTAATCAATATTTTTATATATTTTTTCTTTATTTATTAAATAAAAATAAAAATAAATTAAAAAAATAAAAGAATTAAGTTAAAAAAATTAAAATATAAAGATTGAATAATTAGTTTTTAAAAAAAGAACCCCAATTGATTTGTTTCTTCAAACTGAAGGAATTAATTTATAATTCACTCGATAATGATTATCTTTAGCTTTTGTCTTGAAAGAAGAGATGCGAAGATACGAAAAGATCAACTCAGACCAGATGACAAAATTTTAAGAGTAATGTGTTGTCAGAAACCGGAGCAAGTGAGTGTTGAAGGCGAGGGAGAACAAAATGCAAATAAAGTAAGAAAAATCGGCATTAAATCCGTTGGTTTCTTTTGACTAAAAATAGAAGGGCACTATTATATTTACGCGTCTGTCTGTACTAATAGGAAAGAAATCTATTGCTAAGTCGCAATCCAGAACGAGGTTTCACACCAGAGCAGACCAGACCCAGAAAAATAAAATAAATTACAACACCAAGTCCAACTGCATGCTACTGTAATTATTTAATCTTAATTTAATATTATTTTAAAAAAATTATTTAACAATATTTTCGTAATATTTATTTATTTTTATCTTTTTTATTTCTTAAAATAAATTGGAAAATGGCGTTTAATGAACCAAAGGGACAGTTAGTTAGTTTTTAAAACTAGAAGGATTATTTAATTCGTGTTGTAAAACTAGAAGGATAATTTATAATTTACTCTTGACTTATTAGTCGTGTCATTATGGGCCCTCCACCCATCTCTTTCTGTTTCTCTCTCTCTCCCTCTCACCTACATCATTCAATTCTAATTGCAATCTTTCTTTGTTTTCAATTATGTCCACCTTTGAATTTGACCCTCTGCTCTCCTCTACCACGCCGTGACTCTTAGGGTTTCGTTCTTACGTTTCTCTCTTTGCTTGCTTTCTGGAGATACAAGAAGTCCACCCGTACGGATTCTTCTCTGCCAGTTTTTCAAGTCAAGCCCGTCCTGCCCTGCCCTGCCTTCCCTTGTAATTTTTCTTCTTCTGCGTTTACTTGTTTTTTCCCCTTTCTTTGTTGTATTAAACAAGAAATCAAGGTGGAGTTACTTTGAATTTTTGGGTTTTGAGTTGCTACTTCTTTCATTTATATTTGTCTTTTGATCTCTTCTGTTGGGTTTCGTCTTTTGGGTTAAATTTTTTGGGAGATTTGGACTTTGTAACTTGGTTATTTTTCAAGGATTTGAATTTGAGGTGACTAGGTTTCAAGCTGATTCTATTTTAGAATCGGAGAGACAAGACTAAAAGGGTATGCTCTCTTTGCCTCTCGAATATCAGCTTTAAATCTTTTACTTTTCTTGCTCTTTTGGCATGATTTGAGCTATTACAGTTCTTATGAGCTTCATTTTGGAGTTATGATGTTACCCTTGAAGCTCTTTTAATGGTTTGACTTTGTGGATATATTCAGAATAATCAGAATCTAGCATATTCAAGCGTAAATTTTGGAGTTGTGGGTATTGTTTTTGGAGCCTTTAATGGTTGACTTTGTGATTATATCATAAAATTGGTATTGGGTTGCTTGGAGTAGTTTTGGATTGAGTGTTTTTTAACAATGGATAACTCGAAAAACAGGCAGAGTGATCACTTGGGTGTGAACAGGATAGGCAAGAATATAAAGAAGAGTCCTTTGCACCAACCCAATTTTGCTAACAATCCCAATAGGCAACAGCCGCAACCTCAGGTCTACAACATAAGCAAGAATGACTTTAGAAATATTGTTCAGCAACTAACCGGTTCCCCATCACAAGAACCATTGCCTAGACCTCCCCAGAATCCGCCTAAGCCTCAAAGTATGCGGTTGCAGAAGATAAGACCGCCTCCATTAACACCTATCAATCGACCCCATATTCCACCTCCAGTCCCAGCTCCAGCAGTGGCTCCACCTCCAGTTCCTTATCACAATGCCTTTGTTAGGCCAGGGATGCCGCCCCCTGCTGGTCAATTTGGGTTACCATCTCCAACAATGATGCCACCATTGACACCTGGGGACTCAGGTTGGGCAAATACAGCAGAGTCTCCTATCTCGGCGTATATGCGTTACCTTCAGAATTCAATTATAGACCCCGGTCCCAGGGGAAACCAACCCCATCCTCCACCGCAACCCCATCCACCACCACCACATGGACCAGGGCAAATTCATCCTCAACATCGATTTTCTCCTGGTGGTTTGCTTCCAAATCCACCTCTGCCTCCAGTACCCATGCCTGGAGTGAATGGTCCTGTCCCGCATATGCCCAGTCTCCCTTCCCCACGAATGAATGGCTCTCAGCTGTTACCCTCGCCAACATCTCAATTCCTTTTGCCCTCTCCTACTAGTTACATGAATTTGTTGTCTCCCAGGTCACCTTACCCACTGCTTTCTCCTGGTATTCAGTTTCCTCCACTGACACCAAATTTTGCATTTTCACCTATGGCTCAGTCAGGGATTTTAGGTCCAGGGCCTCAACCTCCACTTTCTCCAGGTTTTTTTCCATTATCTCCCTCAGGTTTTTTCCCTGTATCAAGTCCAAGATGGAGGGATCAATAGTCCAGGAGATAACATTGTTGTTTGTGGAGTTCTGTGTTTGATGAGAAGCTGGTACATTCTTTGTGGAGGCTTATCTGTGATTCACTGGAACTTCAGTTGTGAAAAATGAAAATGCTCAAGTATAGTGCTTGTGTAAGAGGTCCTCTGAAAAGTTTGTAGTCTTTCTCTTTTGGTTCAACTTTCTTTGTTTTTGTTGTCATTTTGTTTTGTTGATAGTTGATACTAGTTTTGCAGCTTCTGCTGATATTAGAATCTGTAACAACTGCAATTATTTTAATTTCTTGGATAAGTTTTACCGGGGTGATGTAGCGAAGTTCAGACCCAAGTTGACTGGACACCTGAAAACGAGCTGTAACATGTAAGACTGCTGTATCATGAAAGGAGGTAGGTTTACAGACACTGAAATTTAGCATGTAGGGTTATGTAGCAGAGCGAATTCTAATGTAAGTGTACTGTATTTGATTAAATCTTAGTTACTTTGAAGTTCAATTCTTCTTGGGAAAGAATTCCAATGCATTATTTTCTTTGTTCATTGTTTCATGTTTTATACAATGAAAGATTCATGTTGTTTAACTGTTCTGATTGTTGGTCATGATGTTTTGGTTGTTGCCAACTGCTGGTTGTATTTCATTATCTCTTGTTGTAATCGGTTTTGAATGATCTGTATGTACTTTATTACCATACTCGATTTCCAAGAAGATAAATAGAAAAATAGATATAATTTGTTCTCCTGATTGTTCCTGTGTTTAAGGAAACATGTTCTATCCTTTATTTTTCTTAAAGAGGTTGGAACTTAGAACAGCATCTATCGAAGTTTGTTTGCAATCCAAGTACATAACCAATTTGTTTCATGCTGTTTAGCCTCATCAGCCTGAATTTATTATTTCCTTGGGTCATTATCTTCATCTAACTTGTGCACAGAAACGTTTCATGCTTGAGCATGGTAAAATATAGGTTTTGATGCATGTTTTTATCCTGCAAATTATGGACAAAGTTTAAGTCACTTTTCCTCGCAGAGTAACCTCTTTTTTTTCTTTTTTAATGTTTCGGCTGCATTTCTGTGTCAACCATTGTTTGATGTGCACTGTATGCACCGAATTGGTCTATCATTATACCTCGCGATTGTGATTGAATGTCGAACTCAAACCAGTACCCCTTGTGCTTTCAAGACCTAATTTCTTTTGAAGTACTGAGAGTGTTTGGCATAGTTTTTGTTTAATAGTAGAGAGATGAGGTTAAACAAAATACTAGCATCTCATTGTTATGAACCGTGTCTAGTTGCATTAAGTCTTTGTGTTGCTGGGCTATAAATACTCTTACCAATCTAGGATGACTTGAACAGCCCCAAGGTCAAGCACGGTCTAAGGTGGCCAAAATGTGAGGTAAGGCACTGTACAGGTGAAGTTTAAACTTCAGGATCAAAGGTTTTATTTTGATATTTTGAATAGCTGAGAATGGTGGAAGATGGAAATTTACAAGTAAAATCAAAAGTATGTTACTGCAATAGGCATCTTTTCAGAATACAAAATAGTTGACTAGAGAGAGGATTATCGTTGCTTTGTTTGCGACCTGTGCAAAGGTTCATCTCTCAAAAGACTTTGTTTATAACAAAAAAAAAAAAAAAAAAAAAAGAAAAAAAGAAAAAAAGAAAAAAAGAAGTTAATGAGGTGCGAGTAAAACTAAAAAAACAAAACAAGTTGGTGCTTGTTAGTTATTACGATCAGTTAATGGGAGAACACAGCCGGGCATCGTTAGAGAAAAAGAAACAACTAAAGCATGACACAGGCATGCGCCTGATAGAGTCAAGGTGGAAAGAAGGACAATAATCTCTTCCTGCGGTATAGCTTGGACTTTAAATCTTAGGTACAAGTGATTGGCTATATAGGTCAGCATGGTAGTTTGTCATTTGGTTTCACTGAGTGTTTTAAAGTTGATGAATTCTAGTTAAGCAATGGGATGATCAATGATGGGGTTGAACTATTTTCTGGAATCAAAGACCCTGTTGCTATTAGGATTACACTGAATTGATACTGTTGTTCTTTTTCGCTTTTTTTTTTTTTCTTCGTCTTCCTTTGGTCTCGTCTGCCTCGATGAACAAGTTCCTTTAAATTTTGGAGAATGTACGACACGCTTGTATCATAACAACTCTTTGGAGACACAATTTGAACATTTACTTTTATATGCGTTGTTATGGTGGGGTCGGGTTAGACTGAAATTGCAAGTCCATTTGTTGGTTTATCTGCAGCTTATGAATATCTAAAAGAAAGTCTTAACCATTGTTCACGTCTCCAGTAGCTTGGATCACCGCCTCTTCTTGCTCATATAAATCTCTCTCAATCTTTTGCAGTTGTCTTACAGTAACATTTTTGGTTATATACAGCCTTTTGTTGATTAATTTTTTATGCCAGAACTCATTGCATGAGAGGTCAAATTTCTAGGTATGCTACATGCATTGGTTTTTCACTGCAGCATCTGATTGCTCGTCTTATACGTTCAACTTTTCAGTTGGTTTCGCGATATTGATATTATTATGCTCTATTTGATACTGTTTTTTTGTTTCTTTTTTCATTGCTGTATTTGATTCTTGGATTGTGTTTACTAAATCTAGCTATAATCCTTCGAATTTTACAAGATTCATGCTTTCTTTCATATGACCCTGTAAATCAATAACTTTGTATTTGTGAAAAGTTTTTGGTTGATGGCTGGTCAATATGAGCAAACTTATATTGATGTTGGTCTTCTTTGTCAAGATACATGCATCTAACTATTTCCAATAGCCTAGTTTTAGTCCTATGGTGTTTGAGAATATTACTGTCTTGAGGCGTGCCTTGAAATTTCTTTGTTGGAACCTGGAAGATGTGTTACTGCCTTGATGGATTTGCGTATAGCCGTATAGGATTTTTTGTTTTGTTTTGAGTTGGGGTCAAAGTTTGCAAGTCAAAGAAGTGGAATTACGTTGCAGAAACGCAATGAAACTGAAATGTCAAATTTGGTTGACTTGAGAGAAGAGTGCCAGTTTTCTTTTCTTATTTAAATTGATTGCTTGATCTTTTACGAGTTCATGTTTCCTTTCTATTTTATTCCCTTACCTTATAAATTGTGCAATACACTCGTGGGCTGATGTTATTCATGTATTGAATAAAAAGGGCTTAAGCTTTGCTTGGAGCTGGCATCAGGCAATCAAATTTAAATCGGTCATGAAACTAACATCGGTCTCTAACCCTTGTGCATAGTTTTATATTTTCTTCATAGCTAATGTGGGCTGGTGGCTTTTGTGGGTTCTGACTGATGGGTTGAACCAACAGTTAGCGATCCATCCAATGTTTTTTCTCTTTCGGCACGACATTCATTTGAAATATAATTGTTAGCTTTCGAGTTATTCCAGCTGTTAGATAATTAGTTAATACAGTTGCTGATCTTGAGTCATTGGGTCTCGTAATTGGACGTTGTTAATCATGCTTAAGAATTTCAGACAGGAAAAATAAAAATGAAAATGATGCATTTTTTCGTCTTCTATTTCTTGTTTCAATCTTCATGTTCTTACAAGTTATAGTCACTGGTGAAGGACATTATAGCCCATTCCTTGTTCTCAAATTGATACCCAAAATCATATATCATAATTGAAGGGAACATGGAAATGATAATTAAAAATGTTCTCCACTCCTCTCAATGCTCTCCATCATCACCACATTATGGTCACCACCATCGAGAAAACAACCATTAAAATCCAACACCACTAATAAGATTCTCTAAGATATTATTGTTTTATTTCTATTGTTGTTTGATTAATGTTACACAGTAAAACTAGTCTACAAATGGTTTGATAGACTAAGTATATATGGATTCGATGTTGCAGTCGAATTTTTATTTATTCCAATGGCAAATTTAAAAGTTATTTGATTGTGAAGGAGGACTCCGTCCATGTCAAATTTTGGATTTTTCTCCATTCTAAGGAGAGAGTAAACACAATTCTCTAATTTTATCATTGCACATCGCCTATAAAATCATCAACGACACATTTCAATTCATAACCCAACACCCTTCCAAATTCCCTTTTCTTTTTGGTATTGGGATCCAAAAACTAATGGATTAAAAAGAAAAGCTCGCCCTAACAAAATGAGTTCGTTCTTGAAATGGGCTGCCTTAGCTTAAGCCCGAATTTGACCATATACATTACGGCAAGTAATGCATCTCTATCCCAATCTTAAGACTATTAATTATTGGAATTTTTTTAAGCTTTTTTTTTTTTTTTTGATGGTTAAAAGCAGCAGAGGTGAGATTACTTGATGACCATCGTTATCACGTGATCCACGACAAAAAAGAATTGTTCATTTCCCATTAAAAACCAAACTTTTATAATTATTTAATCTGACAATATTTTCAAATAAATAAATTGCAAGTAAAAATTCTATTATGCATATTTGGTTTCTCATTAAAAATTATGGACCAAACTAATAAAATTATTATTATAAATAATTAAATTTATCCTAATGGTACATTTAATAAATCAAATTGTGATTTTTTTATATATTTAGTAGCACATTTATAATTATAAAATAAAATAATTGATAATGCATCCATCACAAAATAATGTAGACAAATTTAGTAACGTGTAAATACTTTATTGGTTTGATGCATAACTTTGGATGGTAAATCAAATCTATATAATAATTTTTCTTGTCGTAAACAATTTGTCTTTAGTCCTGCCTTCCATCTGTTGAATTAATTATAAAACAAATGCTCAAGTGTTACGCTACCCAAGACTTCATCTGTTGAAGCTTTTCTTTTTTTAAAAAAAAAAAAGTGAAAATAAATAAAACCTTACAATTTAATGATTACAACAAACATAATTTCCAAAGAGTCCAAGAAACGAATTTGGTGAGACATTGAATTACACTACTTGGAAACACCTCAGATCCAAGACTGTCATGCAAGGTAACTCACCAAGTTCCCCGGGGAACCAGGGACACCACACAAATCACCTAATTAAGACAACAACT